AAAATCTTTCTTTAACATATAATCGTGTATCACATTGCAAATTTTATTGTATTAAAAAAAATAAATTACGCCTAATTTAATAATATAAACTTACGTTAGTATCCACAAAAAAAATTAGAAACTCTTTTAACTTCAACTCGGCTACTACAATTGTTTTAATCGGATGCTTTTATTTTTCTTAAAAAATAAATTACAATTCATTTATTTGGTGGATTTCGTAAATTACAGTTCATTTAAACCTCTAAAGATAAATTGGTGGATTTGGTTCCATTAAGTTCTAAAAATTCCGGTTATTGAATATAATTTGAAATTCAAAATCATTTCTCATATTTGATTTAAAATTCAATTGTGTTTTTTATTCTAAACAATCAGATTGCCGAAAAGATTACCTTAAAACTTTATCATTTCATTTTTTTAGGTTTCAATTTGCACGAAAATTCAAAATGGTTTAAGAATTTCAAATCAATCGAAATTCATCTCTTTAATTTTTTTCCATAAGTTTCAAAATTTTACAATAATTAAGTCAGATTACATATGTATTGTTTGAAAAATCAAGAGGATAATTTTGAAAATAGACAATTTTTTTTTTTCAAAATTGTCTTAGTCTCCATTCAATAATAGTAAATCTCATTTTATTTGTAAAATTGATAAATATGCATAAAGCGTAGAATTTTATGCGTACAAAATTTCTTTTTTACAGTAACTAAAAAATAATAATTTTGAAATATATTGTGCTCAAATTACTTAAAATAATAATAATAATAATATTCACAATAACTAAAAAATAATAATAATTTTGAAATCTTATGTACTCAAATTATTTAAAAGAATAATAATAATAATAATTTTGAAATATTTTGTACTCAAATTACTCAAAAGAATAATAATAATAATTTTGAAATCTTCTATACTCAAATTTTCAGGTACGATAATATTGTCATAATTTTCAGCATCATGTCAATATTTATTTTATATATACTAGGTAAATTTTCTTTCAAACTTTAAATCTTCTATACTCAAATTTTCAGGTACGATAATATTGTCATAATTTTCAGCATCATGTCAATATTTATTTTATATATACTAGGTAAATTTTCTTTCAAACTTTATAAGGTAATTATTTAGGCTTATAATATTTTAGATAATTTTATATAATATTTTATCATGTCGTATTCAAAAAAACATCTTTCATGCAAATGTAAACTTTTTAATGTTTTTAAATATATTTTCTTTACAAAAAAACTTAAAAAGTTTTAGGCGACTTCACATCTTTTAATAATAATATAGAAAATTTTAGATAATTTATATATGTTAATATAAAATTTTAGTAGCTTTTAATTGTTTAAACATACAAATTTTATGTTCTCTTGAACAAGCTAATTTTATATCATTTATAATAAACTGATATACCGTAAATTATATGACATGTTAACTCCACATCGTAATTTATAATTATTATGTAATATCGTCTACCCTCATCTTTAATTTATAATATCTTTCTTGCTCTTTTAAGAGAAGATCAATAGTGGTTCTCCACTTCTTTCATTGGGTGACTCGAACTCGATACTTATTTGTAATTATTATTTAATATTATTTATCTGTGCATCGCACGGGATACGCACTAGTATTATACAAAGGACACAAAGATTAATTTTAGATAACACTTTTACTAATAAAGAAGGGGTAATTTACATTTATACCTTAAGGATTTTAAAAGAACTGCATAAATACAAAAGTGAAACTTATTTGCAAGTATGTCTAGCTTAACAAAATCATTTGAACAACTACAATATAACAACCAAACAAAAAATAAAGAGTTACCATCTTAAGAATCTCGTAACTGACGGGATTTTTTCATTAAATAAAAAAAAACAGAACTATACAATCACGAGCAACGTCGTCCATCACGAGCAGCGTCAATCACAAGAAGCGCGTCCATTTTCTGATCAACGAGATGGTGGAGAATACAACATATACAAAATCTAAACAATATATTTACGAAAAAACTACAATATATACCTAGAATCATGTCGATTCTTATGATTTTCAATTAATATCTTTCATACGCATAAACCAAACTATAAACACTCTAATAGTGTACATATGAAAAACATATAAACAATATATATACAAAAAATATACAGTATATATACCTGCAACTACACAAACAACAAAATAAAAAAGTATAAATATACTACATATATACAAAATATATACCGTCTAGTGGAGATGACAATCGCAAGTAGGGAGATAACGGATTGCCCTTCCCCATTAACCTCCGATGCCCCAGGTCACGATCGCCCTTCGTCTTCTCACGCTGCCTTGGACAAACTTTGTCAGTGGAGATGACAGATCTGAAAGCAGGGAACCGAAATTTCAGTTCACAAGTGAGGCCGAGGCCGTCAAGAGCGACGACGAACACAAGGGAGGTGGTGGTGTAGCAGACGACGTCGTATAAGTCGTCGTAGCAGGCGGAGGCGGAGGCGTGGGGCACCAGGAGGAGAAGACGAGGTCAGAAGGGTCGGATTTGATGTTTTTCTAAACTCAAGGATTGATCGGACCTCTTCGCGGGAGGCGGAGGCAGGTGGGAGGAGGAAGAAGGTGAGGGTGACAGTCATCGACGGAGAGAGATAGAGAAAGAGAGAGAGAGAG